CCCTAACTTAATAAAAACTCCTTTAATTTTAAAAAATTAATTTTTTTATATTTATTTATATTGTTTAATTTAATTAATTTAATTAAATTTGATTGGTTAAAATTATAAATATGGTGTTGGCACCAGTGGTGTGATATATATATATTGAATTAAAAAATTAATAATTTTTTTTTACAAATATATTCTATGAATACTCAATATTATATATTTTTTGATTACTTATTAATATATAAAATTTTGAGTTTTTAGATTTAATTAAGTATGTGTATCACAGGTGATAAGATGATCAATACATTTTAAATATATTTATTTTGGTTTCTATAATATATATTACTATTTACACTTCTCTATTCAAAATTTTATCAACGCCCAAAATCATGGTCGGTTGGATATATGCGGAATTTTGCAGTATAGTGGTATCACTAGGGATGGGACACTGCGCAGGCGGAATATTTCGGAGGTTCGGAATATTTCGGAGGTTAACAATTCTGGCCCGCATTAGCAGTAAATCATCATAATGCAGGCCTGTGAAGGCTGCGCAGCCTGCGCAATAGATTTAAAAAATAGTCGATTTTCCCATCCCTAGGTATCACCTATACTATGTTTTATCCAAAAGTTCTTTTATAGTTACCTATTGTAATTAATATTAATATGTTTCACTCACAATTCTTTTAAAGAATTTGTAATTTTTGCCGTTTTGAAGGATTTGATATATTCATATCTGCAAATTAAATAATTGTCAGCCTTTATTATAATTGTATTTGCTAATTATTATATAAAGTGAATTTACCAACTGAAAGAGTTTCTTTGTACGCTCTTGTCTCATAGTCAGAATCTTTTGTGCATAAACGGTTATTAAAGCATATAAAAAAAATCAACATATTAATTAATTTATTTTTGAAAAATAAATTACCTTCATCCTTTTCATCGACAGTAAGCTTTAGCTGTTGCAGTTGGCCTATAGATTTTGCTATTCTTCTACTAAATTCTAAATGCATATCATAAAATTAAGAAATGTCGACTTTCTAAAACGTTAAATTTATTAAAAATAATTAAAATTTCTTACCTGACTCTGATATAGCAAATTTGTTATTTCTACTATACTCTATA